ATTATTTATTTATTTCAGAGGTTTGATAAATGATAGTAATTATTAATTACTTTTACACGGGAAAATGTTTACGCAATATTTCAATGGTGTAAAAAGAAAAAAAAAAAAAGTAAAAAAGTAAAATGTAATGATTTTTAATTGAAATTATTTATTATTATCATTATCATTATCATTATTATTATTATTATTATTATTATTATTTTGGTTTTAACTTATTTATGTCATTAAAAAAAAAAAAAGAAAAGGGAAAAAAATTCGCTTCGAGTGATAACCATTCATAAAAGAAATAATTATTTACGATGGAAAAATACTCGCGAACGGTTCGTTTGTCAAAAATTCAATGTGTTGTAATATATATTTGTGTTTAAAAATAAAAAAAAAAAGAAAATGGCGTCTGTTGAATTTTCAATAGGTTGTAATTATCCATCTAAGCTTTAAATATTTTTTTTTTAATTTAAGCTCGAAGCGATCGAAATCGACGCGTTGTGTTTAAGGTGTATGTGTCTAATGAAAGTTTGCCTCTCTATGTGTGTGTGCGTGCGTGTGCGTGTGCGTGTGCGTACGGTATAAGGGTCACCCCTGACTCAATATTTACAATGTTAACCTTTATTATTCGAAAACCTGGGAAAACGTATGTACGAAAAATGAGAGAGAGAGAGAGCGAGAGAGAGAGAAACGAATTTCCCACCAAAAGTGTGAAAAAAAAGAAAACCTTTGTTATTAATGTAGTATACTTTCTGCTTTTACCGTACAAACAAACAAACAAACAAACAAACGAAAAAAAATTCTGGTTTGCGTTTCGCATAATTTTTTTAAATTTTGTTTGTGGTTTAATACAATCGTTTATTTCGGTTCGTGACACGAATTTTAATATATAAATTTTAACTTTTTAATAATAATCTAAAAACGGAATCGAAAAATTAAACGTTTTATTATTGATTAACGAACGATTCGATCTATCGATCGATTTATCGAACGATCGATCGTTTAGATTTATGCAAATAATCGAAATCGGATCAAATTTTTTTTTTTTTTGTTGTATTCGACGCGAACCATTATATCTCGTATAATGAAATCACTGTCAGGTTTAATAAATAATAATAATAATAATAATAAAATACATAAATTAAAAAAGGGGGAAAAAAAAAAATGAAATCTTGCTTTACGCTTGCTCTCACGCCATACCGAAGGATATGGAGATTTCTCAGATCCAGATTTAGATATATTTAATATATATATATATTGAAAATTAATATTAAAACCGCCTAAACCGCCTTAAATGAAAAAAACACGAATGCGAAAAGTTTTCTTTTTTTTTGTATTATAAAAAGAATTTGTTTGCTTTTAACAATAACACGAGTGTTATAATTCTTTTTACGTTACGTACTCCGATACGTTTGGTTCCACGCAGTCTGCAATTTTATTTAGGCTATTCTTTATTATTATTATTATTATTATTATTTTAATTTTTTTTTTTTTTTGTTCGTGTTGCCGTTCGTAACCTAACCTCCGGGCGTGCCAACTTTGGAATGAAAGAGAGAGAGAGAGAGAGAGAGAGAAAGAGAGAGAAAAGTAAATGTTTCGTTGCGAAACTCGTGAAAATTATTGTGCGAGGCAAAAAAAAAAAAAATATGGACGCAATTAAGAATAATTTTTTTTTTTTTTTTTTTTTCGAAGTAAAAAAATTTCGATTTGATATTTATATTCGATTAAAAAAAAAAAAAAATTTCATTCAAACAAGCCGAAAAAAAAAAA